GGTCATGATCCTGGAGTCCCGGGATCGAGTCCCACATCGGGCTCCCTGCTCGGCGGGGGGTCTGCTTCTCCCTCTGATCCTCTTCCCTCTCGTGCTCTCTGTCTCTCATTCTCTCTCTCAAATAAATAAATAAAATCTTAAAAAAAAAAAAATAATAAGCCTGTCACTTCCAGGAAAACAACTACTAGTACTTACCGGCAGTGATAAAATTCAAGCTTGCTTCCAAGTGAAAATTCAAAGTTTAGAAAACTTATAACTGCTACACTGAGCAGTATCCCTTTACTGGGAGACTCTTCTGAGGGCATCTGTGGTGATGTTACCGGCTAGGACGTTTTTGATACTGTGTAATGCAAGGTGCCAACTTCAGGAAGATCTGCATAACTCAGTGAAGGAGCATCTTCCCAATGACCAATGCACACTGTTACAGGATCCTTCATGGGGGAAAGCTCCATTCAAGTAACAGAGTATAGAAAGTCCATTGTTGTGGTTTTGGGTTCCACACAACAACTGGCCTTTAAGAAACTTCCACCATGTGATTTTGGTGTATCATCAAAGAATATCCACAATTATTTGGAAGGGCTATTAAAATTCTCCTCCCTTTTCCAACTACATGTCTATGTGAAGCCAGATTTTCTTCTTGTACTTGACCTAAAACATCATATCACCACAGAGGGAATGCTGAAGTGGTTATGAAAATCCAGTTGCCTTCTACCACATTTGTAAAAATGTCACTCTTCTCAATTAAATTTCTTTCTGTTTGTTTTTCATAGAAGTTTGCTATTTATATAAACATGTAATGAGTAAATTATTTCTAAATGGATTAATAAACATTTAAAAAAATTTCTCAGTAGTACTTTCCAGTTTGGTAAATATCAGTAGCTATAACCACATAAACAAAAGCAGAGTCCTCATTGCTTTTGAAAAACCTAAAGGGGTCTTGAGACCCCAAATTTAAGAACTTCTGGGGTAGGGGACAAGAGCATGGGATCTGGGGTCAGACCAAGCTACCTTCTGATCCTGATTGGCTGCTTTACTGGAGATGAGGCTTGGGGAGTGGCTCTTGGTTCTCAGCACTGAGAGAGAGCCAGGGGGACTGCATGCCTACCTCAGGGACTGCTTGAACCAGCAAGGGTGAGAGCCGCAGGTCCCAGGTGGCCCTCACTCAAGAAGAGAGCAGGCTGGGGGTTTGCAGAGGGCTGACAGAGGAAAACTCACTTCCCGCCTGTAAGGTACCACCTTGCTCGCTCGTGCCTGCAGTAGGCTCCCTCACCCTCCCTTTGGAGAAATGCTATGGAACTTTGTTGTTGTTTTTTTTCCTTCTCAGTGAATTAAACTTAATTTTGTTTTGTACATTGGCAGCTCTGCCTGAGACCACTGATGATGCCTGAGGGAGCTGGAAAGCCAGCCCTGGATCCAAACACTGATTCTGGTCCTTGAACCTGAGGCCTCCAAGCTACTGCTTTCTGGGCCGGTTGACTTTCACTTTCTCTGGCATCAATTTCCCTGCTCCCCCCTTACCTGGACCCCTCCCCTGATACTCCTCCTCCACTGCCTCTGGGAGATGATCTGGGCTCAGAGCTCGGGGCTGCCATCCTGGGTGTGCTTTGGAAACCAGTTTGGCCGTGGGGGTTGCCATCATTTCCAAAGCAGGAGATCAGGTCTCCCCAAGCTCTGGTGTTTACTTTATCATTACAGCCAATTATCTTTGTTATTTCAATCTCTATTTCATGAGCTTTGGGGAAAAGCATCCACAGGCCTGCTTTCATGGCATCTTCTTCTCTTTGGCATGTGTCACTTGGCACTCAGTTGGTCCAGGAAGGAGGCGAGTACCTGGGTCATTTCTGCAGCCCCCACCCCATGCCACCGGCAGAGGGAAGGGCCCAGGGCTGGTGGCGCCATGAGGCGGTGCTCTTGCAGACCTCAGCAGCACAGCCAGAGCCCAAACACAGGGTGTCGTGGGCCTTTTAGTGACTATCAAGTCCTTCCATCCGTCCGTCCTTCCTTCCTTCCTTCCGCCCTCCCTCCCTCCCTCCCTTCCTTTCCTGGCATGGGCAGCCCGGTTCCAGCCTCCTTGAGTGTCGGGGAGATGCTGGGAGCCACAACACACCCAGGCATTGACCTGCTATTCTAAGTCAGTGTCCTACTCAGGTTCCCCCCACCCACCTCCCCCCGAAGCACTGGCAGAGCCAGTCCCAGGGGGAGGAACAGTCCCTGCTGGTGTCTTGGTCAATTCTGTCACTTGTGTCAGAGGGCAGGGTGCATGCTAAGCTGTCCCAGAGGAAGGGGCATGCCCAGGGTCCGGGGACACAGTGCACGCTTGCGATGTGGCTGGGGAGTGGCATGCGAGTGTGCCTTCCCGGGCTGGCACTCTGGGTCCCGGTCACACCCCACCAGGCTCTGCCCGCCACGACCCGCAGCAGCTGCCGCCCCTCCCGCCTCCCCCGCCCTGGATCTGCTCCTCACCCTTCAGGCTTCATCTCCACAGAGAAGCTTTCTCTGATCTCCACGCCAAGGGGAGCCTCTCTACTCTAGGGTGTCACAGCAACCTTGCCCTCTCTTTTGTGGCACTGTCATAGTTGTCATCTTGCACATGCTGCTGAGACAGTGGAGCATACGTCTCCCTTCCCAGTGACCTGGGGGCCCCACACGGTGGGGGTCTCCCCAGTGCGAGCAGAGGAACCCGACCCACCAGGCGTGCAACAGACAGGCGCTGAGTGAGTGAGGGACCGAGCGGAAGCAGGAACATGGCGTGTGCGGGCTGTGCTCTGGGCCGTTCCAGGGACACCTCCCTGCCCGTGGACTGGCTGAGCTTTCCAGGGGGCGGGAAGGCAGTTTCCTCCACAGCATGAAGAGTGCCTCAGGAAGGGAATGAGACCTCTTTTGTTAAGTGGGAGCCTCTGGGGCAGGAGCAGCCCTGAGGAGTTGGTGTGGGGAGTCAGATGGCTCCCGGGTGGAGCACGAGCAGGACTCAGGACTAAGATTTCACCTGTAACATAGGTAGCCGTAAGGGGGAGCAGGTTGGTAGAAGTGCTCCGGAAGCCACGGTGCCTGCTGGGCATCGTTTTTACAACGATCTGGGCTGTTTCTGGTGTCAGACTGAGAGCCTGCTGGGGAATCTGGAAGGTGGAGTACAGAGCAGGGTGCTTGGGTGGGGGGGCATCTAGAAAACAAGATGGTAACCCTCCTGCTTGTATTCTGGAGGGCCAAGTAGTCGTCGCCGGCCAGGCAGAGGCACTGGGGAGGAGTGCTTCCTGTCCCCGTGTCGAAGCTGCTGCCCGACCCCTTGGCCGAGGCTCTGCTGCCACGGTGCCAGGGTCCACTCAAGGAAGGGCGCCCCAGGCAGTCGTGCTGGGGACACTGGAGATAAAGTGTGGCGGATGCTGGCCGAGGTGGGGTTAGAGGGTGGGAGTACTTACAGTTCGGTCACGTCCTTGGGAATGCCTTTGGGGAGGGCGTGCAGCCCCCTGTTGCTGCACCGGACCACCGTCTCCACGCAGGTGCACTGCTCCGGGCAGTGGGGGCCCACCTGGCAGCTACTCTCGTCATTGCCTGTGGAGGGTCCCAAAGTGAGCATGGGGGGACACTAGCTTCTCTGGGGGGGTGGGGGGGCGGGGCAGGTGAGCGAGGCCGGGTGCCAGGGACCAAGCGGTCTTCAGGAAAGGGAAGCCCTCCACTCTGAGCCTGAACCGGAAATAAGGAGGCTGCTGGTCTCCTCCATGGGTAAAGGGGAAAGAATGTATGTCTGGATCGGGGAAAAGGGCCACCCCTCTGCTACCATGTTCAACATAAATTGAAGACTTTAAAAACTTGATTAACCAGAGTATTAGATAGGGAAGAGATGACTGTGAACCGAATCCAGAATAAGCCAAACTGACTAAAGGAGTGCTCCAGGGTAGGCGGAGAGCCCTGGCTACTCCCTCTTTCTCCTACTGTTCTCCACTCCTTCCACCGACACAATCCGTCTGGGGTGGTAAATGTGTCCCCAGCCCATTATACCTTAACCTCAGTTAATCTACAAACCAGTTAATTTGTCTTTAGATAAGCTATAGCTGACCAAGTAAAAAATGTGCTGGCTGAATTTATGTAAATATGTCCTTTGGAATCCTGACATTTAAAGCCTTGGGCCTCCAGGTATTCATAACCCTCCCAGCCAGTGACAGAAATTTCCCAGGAGCTCATCTTGAAGTCTGTTTCTCAGGATACACTGAGCCTCATGACATAGATAGGAAAACTGAGGGCCAGGGCTCTCATGCACGGTTGTGTAGGTTGCGTACTGCACAAGGGTGCCTCACCATCTAATGGGCACCGATCTCACTGTAGATATGATAGATTAGGACATTTAGTACAACAGTATTCTCATAGACAGCCATAAAGTGTCTTGTTTTAAAAAAATCAGTATATTATGACACATTTCTGATAGAAGCAAAATGTCTTTAGGAAGAGGCCCCCTTTCTTAATTTGCATAAGGGAGCCATATGGTTAGCAGCAGACCTACAGAGCCCCATAGAGCCCTTCAGAGCCACAGCTGCATGCCAGAGGGCAGAGCAGTGTCAGATCTCAGGGGGTCCTGGCCATTAGTTACCTGCTGCACCTCTCCTCTCTTATCTTTCTTGCCTTCCCAGGTACTGCCCCTCTGCCCCGCCCCCCAGCCTCCTCACCTTCACAGGTAAAGTCCTGGCTGGCCACATCCTGGATGGGGATCTCCTTGAGGAAGAATGGCTTCTGGCACCGGGGGTTCCCGCTCACGATCCGCCTCTTCCTCAACCACTTGCCGAGCCAGGCCAGGTGGCAGTTGCAGTTGAAGGGGTTGGACAGGAGGTTTCTGGGAGGAAAAAAGGGCCCTCTGAGTGGTTAGCACCTACCGCTCTACTGTGGAAGCTGGCCTCGGGACCCAGGGCTGCAACCCTGGGGCCCGGCTCCCCAAGGAGGCCTGCTCTGGGTTCCGGAGAAGGAGAGAGGAGGTCCAGGAAAGGAAATGCAGACTCTCTTCTAGAATCCAGAGGCAGTCTTTGCGAGGGTCTCATTCCAGACCTCTGTGGACGGACAGGACCATGGTCTCCTGCCGCGCCCTCCCTTCTCCGCTGAGCTCCACCTATGGACTGTCTTCAATCCCGCAGCACGGTTCTCTTACACTTAGTGCCTCCACCAGCGCTGGTCCCCGGCCTGGCATGACCCTCTCTGCTGTCTGCCTGGCCGCCTCCTCCTCCTTCCGTCCTGGCGTAGACAGGGAGACTAGAAGCTGCACCTGTCCCAGCCTCCTCCCTCACTCGCCCACGTGGCCTGCTCAGCAGCCACACTGGCCGTGCAATGTGTGCCTCCCTCCTTAGACTCTTGGCTCCCCAGGGTGGACATCAGACCTGTCTGTCCTGTGTCTCTGGGGTCCTGCATGGCATCAGCACCGCCACTGTGTGTGTATATGTATCTGAGGAATGCAGTGACCGGACTGGTGGAGGGATGGGGGCAGAGCAGCTGTGGGTCTGCGTGTTGCCTGGGGGACTAGAACCAGGCTCAGCGCTTCATAAGCCCGAGGACAGAGGGGACACTATTCTCATCTCACACAGGAGGAAAGTAAAGCTTAAGGAGGTTACATGAGAGGCCAGGCAGCCCTGAGTTGCTGTGGTATGACAGGACAAATTAAGAGCTCGGGAGTCAGACATCCCGGGTTTGAATCCTGACGCTGACGTTCAGCAGCTGTGCTGAGTCAGGCGAGTTTCTTCTTGCGTCAAAGCTGGTTCCCCTAATGAATTGTGACTGTACCTCTGGGCATCTTGTATGTGTCTGGATTCTCAGTGTGGAGACACACAGGAGGGGTAGAAAGTGAGCTAAAGTAAACCAACCTGCTGGCGCTAGTTCCTAGCCCCCGGCCGCCCGCCGTGCTGCCACTCATTCGTTCCATTCACACCTTGGTTCACCAGGTATATAATGGGCCCTTACTTAGTGCCAGGCACTGACCCAGGCATTGTGGACACAGCGGTGCACAGAAGAGCTGCACATCCCTGTCCTTCTGGAACTTCCATTCCAGCTGATGGGAGGCAGACAGCATGGAATCAACAACCCAAACGTCGGTTGTATGGTCTATCAGGAAACGGTCCGTGCTAAGGAAATGGTCAGGAGACCTGGGCTGAGGAACTGGGGGGGATGGCACGGGGGCAGAGCGGGGTGAGGCACCCACACTTGAGCAAAGGATGGAAGGAGGGGAGGGAGGCCGGGGAAGGCTGTTCCAGGTAGTGGGAGTGGGTCTAGGGTGTGGGGGGCAGTGAGGAGGCTGGGGGGGCGGTGCTGGCCTGGAGGTAGGTTAGGAGGGACCGGATGGTGTGGGCCCTTTAGGACATCTATAATTTGGCTTTTATTCCCAGTGAGGTGGGTATTTGGGAACAATAGGCAGCAACAGGAGATGCAACCAAAAGCCTTTCTCTTCTGTCTTTCAGAGAGTCATTAGGGAAGGAAAGAGAGAGAGGAATGGACCAGCAACTAAGGTTAACAGAGCCACGTGGAAATACTATGCACAACCATAAAGGCTAACGTGTGTTGAGTACTTTCTATATCTCAGGCCCCTCCTTTGCATTTTACAAATATTAATGGATTCAATCTTCGTAACAATCCTTTGAGATGGATTATACAGAAGGAACAATTCAAACACAGAGAGATGAAGTAACTTTTCTAAGGTCACACAGCTAATAAGAGGTAAAGCCAGGGTTTGAAACCAGGAAATTTGCTCTAGAGCCCATCACTTTACTATTCTAAAGCCTCCTTACCAATACAATGAATTATCCGGGCAGGAGCACTCATTTAGGTGTCCAGAAGGCTAGATTCTAATTCTGGTTCTGATACACATTTAAGCGGCCAGTGACATCATTTAAAACCCACTGTCAGATCATGTCACTGGCCTGCTTAAAACCTTCAGTGGCTTTCGATGAAGACCAAAATAGTCCATGGCAGGCCTGTAGCCTGGCCCTGGCCTGGCCTCCCTTCTGCCTTGCCTTATACCTCATCCTCCCTTACTCTGTGCTATGACCATGTTGGACTGTGCTCAGTCTCATGCATCTGCTCTGTGACAACCCACCACAGAGCCTTTGCACATGTTCTTCTGATAGAAGGAAATACACTTCCCACTTTCTTGAACAAGCTAACTCCCACTCACCTTCCAGAACCAAGCTCCAGTGTTCTTTGACAAAGCCTATGTTGGGTTTTCATATCACCGTGGACCTCCCTTCTGTGGTAATTCACTATGCTGTGAGCTCCAGAAAGGAGGGACCATGTCTGTGAATTCTTAGCACTTCGATGGTGCCTGGCACATGGAGGGAGCCCAGCAAGTGGTTATTACGTTGACAGATGGGTAGGTGACTGTGGCCAAACATGGTAGGGAGCTGCCAGGGGAGAGGTGTGCAGGAGAGGAGCCCAGAGTCAGTGTGCAGTGGGTCCAGGAGGACTTACATGGTAGATAGGGAGACAAGTGTGGTGAAGGCTCCAGGGGTGATGGTGGTGATCCGATTGTCATAGAGGGACAGCAGCCTCACTGAACTCAGGCCAGCAAACGTGTCATTGCTCACGCAGTTGATCAGGTTACTCCTCAGCATCCTGTAAGGAGAGGGATAGGGATGAGGGTGCACAGGCATTATCTTCTCTCCACCACAGAGCCACAGGGTGTGTGTGTGCGTGCGTGTGTGTGTGATGCTTTTGCCAACTCCAGGCCAGACTAGTCATGTTGCTGAGGTTTGTTCTGTGATAGGGTGTGGGTCCCCACTGTGGCTACCTGTGAATGTGTGCGTACATTCTTGTCTGTGCATGCTTTATGTACAGTAAATATGGGTGTCATGAGTGTCTATGTGTACACATGTATGTTGTATGGTGGTCAGTGTCTGCATGTCTATTTCTGGGAGGAGAAAGGAGAATCAAGATGTGGCTGTGGGCCATCAGCTTGTATGTGTGTGTGCTTGTGTGTACATGCTTGTTTGTGTATGTGCTTCTCGGCATGCGGCCTGTGTGTCATTTTTATGTATATGTGTCTATATCTAAGTGGGTGAGTGTGTGTGTGCCCCTCTCAGCACAGTTTCAGCATGAATCTATCTACGTGTACACCTTAGGGCAAGTATCTTTCAGGGTGCGTGTGCTGGGGTTGCTGAGCATGCTAAGCGGTTTCCCATCGAGGCCTGGGAAATGTCTAGTGCCTCTCTGGCTCCAGGAAGGAAGGCACTCAGCTTGTTAGGACAGGGCCCAGGAGCTGCCCGCCAGCCTTCGTAATCCCCCTCCGAGGCCCCCGTCCTCCCATCTCCTTGCAGGCCTTGGCCCAGGATCCAGGCACTCACAGGGTCTTGAGGCTGCTGAGTCCCCGGAACATGCGTCCATGCAGCGTTTCCAGCTGGTTCCCGGTCAGCATCAGCTCCTGCACACCGGCCGCTCCATCGAAGGCACCCTCTCTCACCTCCTTGATCTTGTTGTTACTCAGGTTTCTAGAAGGAGGAGACAGAGTGGGTCAGGATGCAGGGAGGGAATCATGAACCCTGCAGTCAGGGGGGACCCTCAGGCGCCCTTGGACCAAGGACTGGATGGTGGGGCTCCCTGATGCCTTGGTCTTCAGCACCCGTGGCTGTGGAGCAAGGACCCCAGTCCTCCACTGTTGGGGCTACCCTGTGAAACAGGCTGCATGCAGCCTGAAGTCTTTTCAGGGTGATCCTTTTTTCTAAGCCCCAGGTACGAGCACATTTAAAATGGCGATTCTCAAACTGATTTTTCTCCCTTCATCAGAAACACTTGCCTAGCAGTGCTTCTCACATGGAAGGCCAGAGAAAAATATAAAATGTGCCCTCTGTGGGGGTGGGACATTTGTAGAGCTTCTAGCTCTACAGTTGAGATCCTTGATATAAATGGACACTTTCTAGTTACTACTTTCTGAGCACTTATTATGCATTTGGTTCCACGTGAGGGGTTTGGCCCACAGAATCACATCAAATCCTTGAAACAACACCTATCAGAAGAGTATTACGTGTATTATCATTGTCTCATTTTATGGATGAGGTGACTGAGGTTCAGAGAGTTTAAGTAACTTGCCCAGAATCACACAGCTGATAGAACTGGGATTGAGGCCAGGCTTTCTGGTGCATCAAAAGTCCTCCTAAGTGAATGTTCCTTTGGTGCTGTGGATACTCACACCCTTCTGTTACTGCTTTGCAGAATTCAGGGCTTGCATATTGTATTTTCCAACAGCTTGGTCCTACGAAGCCTTGGAGCCACCCTTTCCAATTCTGCTCGAGCTCTGAGAAGGCCTTTCCCTCCAATGCCTGATACCACAGGCCAGGCCTCTCGAGAGCTCCTGCAGGGCCACCGGGGCTGCGAGTCCTCCAGGGCGCTCCTTGGCAGGGAGCCTCCATGGACCACCCAGTCAGCCTGAAATGCATCCCAGACAGGACGGATGGAGTGGAGAGTGATGGTGTTTACACAAACTGGGGGAAAAATCCAGTCTCCGGAGCAAAGAGCCTGCCCGTGCCTTGCACAGGAATGGTGTTCTGCGAACAGCAAAGCTGCAGGTGTAGACGGAGCCTGCTGACCCTCTAAGCACACTGAGGATGTTAGGACCCACAGCTGAGCCCCTGGTGCTTTTGCCTCTCTCACGCGCCCGTGCGCAGCTCTGGGCTGACCCACGGCAACCCCAGGGGGTGAAGCTTCCCTCGGCAACCGCCTCAGGGCTGGCGATGGAACTGGGCGCCCACGGGCTGGATGCCAGTTTGCTGCCTCCTTCCTACGTAGGGCCTGGGCCTGCAAGGCAGGGCAGTGCCCATGCCTATGTGCAGGTGTGGAGGCAACAGCTGGTGGCTTGTCGGCACCCTCAGCGCTCCTGTCATGGCCCTGCTCTCCTGCCCCTTCCGTCCTGCCAAGGAAACAGGAGAAATACTCCTCAGCATCCTGCCCTCAAGGTCTGAGAGATTTGGGAGACTCTCTCTCTGGATTTCTGCCCCCCTCCCCCTTGCTGGCTCTCCTTAAACTCAGCCGTTTTTGTTTGTTTGTTTGTTTGTTTGTTTTTTAAATAAATCCTGGTAGTCCTGGTCTGGGATAACCCAGGAATGAAGGGGAGACTGCAAATTACCCCCAAATTAGACATGGGAGGAGAGAGAAAAGCTCTCCCAGTAGCTATAACTCATATGAATGCCGGAGGAGCAGGATTTTACTCCAGAGAGTTAGGCTCTGTGGGGAATTAAAGTACACAGGACGGGCAATGAAGATGAGTTAAAGCAGCCATGAAGGGGGAGGGCTTCCATTTCCCGACATCTGTTTCTTCAAATGAGCAAAATTAACATCACATTACTGTAAAGTTTGTGAATTGGATTTCCTCAGGTTGGGAGAATGGAAAACATAAGGAGAGAAAAAAAGGAGGGGACAGAATTTTCCAGAAGACCAGGCTGCGGCTGTCTCTCCATTCATCAAAGCGCTGCTCAAAACTACAGGCAGCTTGGGGCAAGCACTCCACTCACAAAACGAGAGCATCGGGCTTTTGTAGGAACTCTCTCTTACTCTCAGAGCGCTATCTTCCTGAAGATGCCCCAGATCCCAGGGACCCCAAATGTGAAGCCAGGGCCACTCAGGAGGCCTCGCTCCATTTTTGTCTCTACAGATGCACCCGAAGGAATATGGCTTCATCCTGGCTTTGACTCTGATGAGGATGGGATCTTACACAAGGGTCCAGCCGTGGAAAACTCCCATGCAGGCTGGGGTGGGGG